TTGGAATGTTGACTTGGAAATATTAATGCCGTTGGTGTACCTCGGCTTTTATTCTCTAAAGCTAAATTGTTTATAGAGCTTTGTGAATTGGCTTCATCGGAAGCCAAAGGATAATCGCCTTGGTGTGGAAGCCATGCCAGGTCTTCGTCGCTCATGTGACAAGTATCCTTACAGCTAGAAACCATGAGTTACGAAAAAAGCAGCAATATTCAATCATAATTCGGGCATTTTATGATTTGTTTGTCTGCCCTACATGCTTGTTGATGAGTTTAGTTGACGTTTTAGGAAGATATAGATATGCTCACGACTGTTTACTTGCTTAAATAAGCCAACGTTCGATCCTGACCTATATTTCTATAGCTGATTTGTAATGATGTTGGTATTGTAAAAAAATAATCTGAAAGTGCGTCTTCTCGTATGTTCGGAATATCATCTGCAAACATTTCAAAATATAAATAATCCATTTAAAGCCATGCAATCACAAATATTCACTTTCTCTTTTATTCATTGCTTATATAATATGAGAGTGCAGTAACAATGCTATATTTTATGAAGATTTATCTTGGTTGCTGTTTTTGTATTCTATCTAAAAATGGGATCTACTTGCTTGCAGATGAAAAGACTGTCATTTTAACTTTGATGTTAACGTCTTTCATTCAATCATCATCATTTCTTTTATTTATTCACTCTCCTTACTCTCTTTTTGCTACTAAGTAAACTATCAAAATAAAATTTTAGGTAATAAGCCTACGAATGTAGGCAAAATAGGCGGAGCCAAAACAGGATTGAATGCAAAAAGATTCACTTAGGCTTTAGGTCCCCTCACATCCTACTCCTATATATATCCTATAGGGCTGAGAGTGGAGATGAAATTCAAGCTTTCGCTGAAAGATTTATTAACTAACTTATGCCAACACAGAAAGAGCAATGTATTTGCTGAGCCTACTTTCATTTAGAGTAAAAGGGTTTGGTGAAGAGCTTCGACGGTCGATTCTTTCAAAAGACATCGGAGGATTCCTGTTGACCAGCTGTCCATTGGCTTTACTGGAATATTCTCGTTGACACTGTTTCTGAGGTAATCCCGTTCGATTCCGGTGAAAACATGCTAAGCTTTCGTCTATCTTATGACGGATATCATCAGAACAGAGTATCATCCTACGACGGACGAAAGCTTAGCACATTTTCACCGGTATCGAAGGAGATTGCCTCGGAAGTAGCGTCAACAAGAATGTTCTAGTAAAGTCATTCGGCAGCTGGTCAAAAGAAATCCCTCGTCGTCTTCTGGTGGGATCGACCTTCGAATCTCTTCGCCAATCCCTTTCTATCGAAATGAAAGTAGGCTTAACACTTATGACACAAGAGACTCCTCGAAACCCAACTTTTCATAGCAATATTTTTTTTCCGAATAGAAAATGCATTTATCGAGGTTTCGATAGTGATTTGGATGAGTCCTTGCAATGAAAAATGTTTGATTGTTTTCTAGACTCAGCAATTTTCCTTGTATTTCCTATCGTATCCACAAACAGTTAATTATATGTAGCCTATCAGCTTTTAGTAATATCTATTCTAATACTTCTCTTGTCATTTTAGGGTATTCCCTGATAAGAGAAGATTATAATTGGTGGCTTTTGTCACAATCAAAATTCACAAGTCTTTCTTTTGTTTTAATTACGTTACCAAAAGGTGAATATCAATTGGGTTTATATCTCCTTAATACTTTTATTATAAGCCATCTTTTTTATACAAAATTCATGTTTCCATTATAGTATTTTTAGACCTGAAAATTGGTGTATATTTTGCTCACTTTTACTTAGTTTAATAATGAGAACATTTTTGTTTGTTTTCTGTCTCATTACAGGGCACATTTGCTAGTTTATTTTTGCAGGCTAAAATGCACTTTAATTGAAATTGAAATAAATTTACTCAAGCAGCCCATAAACGGTCCTGGCATTAAACTTTTCTGTAACTTAATATGCTCATTAAATTGGTTTTAAGTCTAAAAACTAACCAGGAATTTTTTTGAAGCCCAGCTTCTTTTAATATTTCATAGGTTTGTTTTTATGACAGTAGCTTCATGTGATTTAAACTTGAGGCCAAAGTATCGGATAAAATAGGTATTAACAAGATTTCAGTTTAGCTTCTGTGCATAAGATAGGTTTATTATTTACCAGACACTCAATATTATACAGTTACATATTTCCAGCTTGTTTTACTTCCTGCTTCAGCTCATTATCGCAGAAACGCATTAAACTTTCCCGATGCATCAAATTCCTTATACATTTCTATTGAATCCAAGGAAATAAATCTCTTCTCTCTTCATACTGGTGAAAAATTATGTGTTTCTCTCAAAGATGAGGACCTTGCTGACTCACCATTGTTCGGTTGTGCCACTTTTATTCATGAACCCCCTTCGCAAATGTTTCAGCGACAACTAATTGTTTTGGTCCAGCCAAGCGGAGCTGTGCAGGTATTTGAAATTTACTGTTTTCCATATATATATATATATATATGAGTCTTTTTTTCGTATTAACTTTACTTAAACCGACACTACATGCAGGTATTGTGTTACAGTAGTTTATATTTATCTGGATTCATGCTCAGATTTAAATTATCATATTGCTCATGATATCTATGGCAATGGCACTAGAACGGAAAATTTTCTTAAAATTACAAATCCTTGCCATCCGTGCACTTTTACTCACGACTATGGAGAGGTTACTCATTTGATAAGCTTAGATCTTATTTACCTCGTTGGCACCATGACAAACACTATCCTACATTTTTAGCAGGTCATCTTTATACGTATAATATCCTCAGTTTCTTATTATTCTCATGATCAGTTACATTTTGATCAGTTAGACTTTCCTTTTATTGTCCAATTTCTTCCAGCCATACACTATTTGCTTGCAATGAGACCATGATCGACGTTTTCGACAATAGATTAATTTCATATCTTTCCTATTCAAGTAGCAATGAATCTTCTTAAATAGTGGGTTGACTTTTCCCCTTTTGTAATATTATTAGATATTTGACAGGCAATCTCCTATAAGTTTAAGAAAATCTATTTACTTCTCTTAATCTTGTTTTATTTATTACACAATTTAATAACTTCCTTCATAAGCTCAAGCAGTTTGTTTCACGATTTCATTGATTATGACGTGTTCTTTTTAGCTGTTTCAACTGATCATCCGAAGAGAAGATGAACTTAAAGTTCTAATAGATCGTTTTGAGGATTTGAGTGCCTGCTCTACTAGTCGTCGTAAGCTCCACGAGCTCGGGCGGCAGCTGCACATCTTTGTACTCAGCAACTATGCTAACCTTAACTTTAGACTACAGAAAATGCCTGACGTGTCTATCGAGCCTTTGTCTCCAGGTGTCTCGCCTACATGCATCCATGCTGATGGACTTGGTATTGCCATGGGATTGAGCAACGGCAGTGTAAGGGTGGTCTGTTTTCATTACTGGTTATTTGGATCGAAAGAATGGCTTCAACAACCTCAGAACATAACATATTCTCTCGAGGATGCCGGTGGAGGTGGAGTGACTTCGGTGCGCATTCATAATTTCCTAATCGCCGCTGGGGCAAAAAATGGGGTAAATGACTATTAAATGAAACTATGTGCCTTGAATTACCGTACAGAGGGCCTGGTTCAAAATTATCAAGTTTCAGCTTACTTCTTAGTATATTTTGTTTGTGGCTTAGTTTTAATGTTTCGTGGCCTAAATAATCCCATTTGTTTCACAATATTATGCACTTGTAACACTCAATTAGCCCTTATATTCATTGCCGAGGTTTTTATCTCAGCATACTTTTTCTCTGCCTCTCATGGCTCCCTAATTATATGCACTTTCTTTAGCTTTACTCTCCAATCTTGGTATACTTTGCGGTAAGATATTTATCAATTTTGTATCGGTTTTTCAAGGGGGGATTTCATTACAACATCACACGTCATCCAGGGTATGATGCCCAAACTTGAACAACTCATGCATAT